GGTATCAGATTAGTATTGGTATGCAACATCAAAAGTTATATCAAGCAGAAGCTGACTTCTACAATGGCTGTACTGTGATAAATAATTCTTGATTATTACTAGACTATTTTTTTTTTAAAAAACACTTATTTCTGTGTTTGTTTTCAAGAGAATCCCCTCTCTAAAATGTCTGAACGATAAGCTTTCGTTTCTCTCCTATTCTCTCTCTCGTCTGTCATTAATTCATACTGATCACTCTCAGCACCATGATATTGATCAATAAAAGTGCATTTCAAATGAAAATACAATTTCAAAACATGACAGTATGTGTTTAAAACACATGGCATATCCAGCTAAACACAGATATACCTTCACAAATTAAAAAAGAAATGCATTTTCCCTTGCCAATAATTTGACACATCTGATGCATCTCTTGATAAGCACACTATCTGTAATACACAGCTCCATCCATCACACACACACACACTCAGAAAACACACACAATTCAAAACGTAATACTTTGGCTAATGCCTTCACTCACCTCTCACCAACATGAAAGACTGACTGAAGCTAATATGTCATTATACTGTAAATAGAAATGGATCAGGATAAGTATATATATATACCCCAGTTGATATGATATACTGTATATATATATATATATATACTTATGAGAGTGTGCACGTACATACACGTGTACTTTATGTATTTATTCACTTGAATCTGTAGTAATACCTCCCAACAGACTGATCTGGTAGAGATCGTCTCACAGTGATCAGCCATCTGGGTTTATAGTTTCACACTAAACACAGTTTTAGCTACCATCAACGTTTATGTGTTGAGGAACTTTTTTTTAAATGATTTGTTATTAATGTAGAAGCAAAGAGGCCTTAAGAAAGTCAGGACTAATAAGATCAAATTCTAATTGCAAAATCTGATCTCAGAATCGGACGCAGAACGCACATCCTGGTATTTTACGGCGTCCCGCATGTGACATACTTTGCACTGTGATATAATGCTTGTTTACAGAACAGTAGATCTGTATGGGTATTGGAACACACCCCTAATAAAAATAAAAATAAAAAAGACAAAAAAAAAACTTGAATTTCTAAACCTTTTAAAAACTCAAGGGTCGAAATTCAAGTTAAGTTAGTCAATTTCCTAAATGCCTCTAGTTGTATAATTATAATTAAAACATTAACGCATTAAAGCTAAGTAGTGGCTAACCCACTACAACAACAAAAAGCCTCTTCAGTTGTCTTTACATTTTGAGAACTTGAAATACCTACTGAGAATTGGAAGCGGGAAAATCTAACCCCTCAAATGTAATTTAATTTAGGTTGTCCTTTTCTTTAATTCCTTATATTAAGCTTATTTATACCAGGGCTGCAACATGAGGAGTGAGTCATTTAGTTTCTTTCTGCTTTTTCTGTTGTTAATTAACATGCCATATTAGCAGTAGATTGGCTCTTTATAGTCATTATAAACAACTTATTAATGCCTTATTCTACATGACCATAATTCGGACAAGTAATAAGCCATTAGTTGAGAGTTTTTCCTCAATACCCCTCTAATTAGTGCTGATTTATGCCAAGTAAGGAAGTTGTTGTACATGAGTTTTGGTCTTAATATGCTCTGCTCCATATGGGCCTAATAAGGCAGGAGTACCACAAGAATAGTAATTCTCTCCCTTAATAACACTAACAAATATGATCTATTCTTATGTAACAACACATGAAACCATAAGTGTTAATTAGTCTAAACAACAAAAATTATGTATTTCTATCTAAGAACATGTTCCCTATTTTAAAGTGAAGTCTTGTTCATAACCAATAAGCTAGTAGTTTGACTCTAATTAGGTATTTCTATCTAAGAGCTAGTAGTTTGACTCTAATTAGGTATTTCTATCTAAGAGCTAGTAGTTTGACTCTAATTAGGTATTTCTATCTAAGAACTAGTAGTTTGACTCTAATTAGGTATTTCTATCTAAGAGCTAGTAGTTTGACTCTAATTAGGTATTTCTATCTAAGAGCTAGTAGTTTGACTCTAATTAGGTATTTCTATCTAAGAACTAGTAGTTTGACTCTAATTAGGTATTTCTATCTAAGAACTAGTAGTTTTGACTCTAATTAGTCACGTGTTATAGCAGAAGTTTAATACAGCGTATTTCTGGTATATTCATTTAATGTCACCTGATATATAGGATGTGTTAAACTTGAATGGACGAGTCAATTTTTTCCTCTTAATTATAGAGGTTTTTTATATATATAATATTCCTAAAATGATGTCCCATTTTAAGTAGAAGTAGATTAGCGCAAATGGTCTTTTCTTCCACTTTTGTGTTATAAGGTGTACCCATGTTAAGTAAATTGGTAAGAGGTCAGAGGAACTCCAAGAGAGGGCTTCCTCCGATATAATACAGTTAAAGTCTTGTTAGTTAGTGGTTCATATCCAGCATGCATTAGCTAAGAAACGATAAGGATGTTGGTGTGTTAGTTAATATAAAGAAATGTATGTGCGCTCATGTGCAGACGTATATATAGTTTGTTGTTATGTATTCATTTTGAGTGAGCTGGCTTCGAGGTTGGAGGAAGTTCAGAGAGGTGATGACATTTGGAGATGTTTAAACACAATGAGAAAATGTGTTAGCATACACGCTAGCATTAGCCATACTAGCCTGTATACATGCTTATTGCACAGCTAGCATTAGCTATATTGACCTTGTTTACACTTAGCAGTCCTATGTGTTAATCTGTGTATGTTACACTTGCATGTATGAGATCATTAAGTGCCTTATAACTTATTTGTTATAGTTTCACTCCGTTTGAATGTCACTGGACTGCAAATAAGTCAATAAAGGAGCATGGCTGCTCATTCCCTGGCTCTCAAAAGAGTTTGGCTGGCTGTTGAATCTATGTTCACACTGAGACAACACAGAGAGAGAACAGTACACCCTAATTGTGTGAGAACATACAAGCAGGGTCACACAGTATGATCACGAATACATAAACTCTGTTAAAAAATCGGCTGCATGTGTTCTCAGCCTTGGTGAACTTGACATGTTTTGGTACATGTATGTGTCCTGAACCTCTCTTTAGTGGTTCATTAATAAAACAGATATGTCAACGTGTGCCTACTTTGTTCATGTACTGTTGAGGTTAATTTCAGTAGTTGTGTGCTATAATGTATTTACAAAGTGTGAAGAGGAGGCAACTTTAGAATAGGGAACCTGTTCAGGTCAATGAGAGTCAAACTACTAGCTTATTGGTTATGAACAATACTTCACTTTAGAATAGGGAACCTGTTCAGGTCAATGAGAGTCAAACTACTAGCTTATTGGTTATGAACAATACTTCACTTTAGAATAGGGAACCTGTTCAGGTCAATTAGAGTCAAACTACTAGCTTATTGGTTATGAACAATACTTCACTTTAGAATAGGGAACCTGTTTCAGGTCAATGAGAGTCAAACTACTAGCTTATTGGTTTATGAACAATACTTCACTTTAGAATAGGGAACCTGTTCAGGTCAATGAGAGTCAAACTACTAGCTTATTGGTTATGAACAATACTTCACTTTAGAATAGGGAACCTGTTCAGGTCAATTAGAGTCAACTACTAGCTTATTGGTTATGAACAATACTTCACTTTAGAATAGGGAACCTGTTCAGGTCAATGAGAGTCAAACTACTAGCTTATTGGTTATGAACAATACTTCACTTTAGAATAGGGAACCTGTTCAGGTCAATGAGAGTCAAACTACTAGCTTATTTGGTTATGAACAATACTTCACTTTAGAATAGGGAACCCTGTTCAGGTCAATTAGAGTCAAACTACTAGCTTATTGGTTATGAACAATACTTCACTTTAGAATAGGGAACCTGTTCAGGTCAATGAGAGTCAAACTACTAGCTTATTGGTTATGAACAATACTTCACTTTAGAATAGGGAACCTGTTCAGGTCAATGAGAGTCAAACTACTAGCTTATTGGTTATGAACAATACTTCACTTTAGAATAGGGAACCTGTTCAGGTAAATTAGAGTCAAACTACTAGCTTATTGGTTATGAACAAGACTTCACTTTAGAATACAATTTTTGAGTTGTTTAGACTTAATTAACACTTATAGTTTCATGTCTTGTTACATAAGAATAGATCATATTTGTTAAGTGTTATTAAGGGAGAATTACTATTATTGTGGTACTCCTGCCTTATTAGGCCCATATTGAGCAGAGCATATTAAGACCAAAACTCATGTACAACACCTTCCTTACTTGCAATAAATCAGCACTAATTAGAGGGTTATTGAGGAAAAACTCTCAACTAATGGCTTATTACTTGTAGAATATGGTCATGTAGAATAAGGCATTAATAAGTGTTTTATAATGACTAATAAAGAGCCAATATACTGCTAATATGCATGTTAATTAACAACTAGTTGATGGTTCATTTGTGTACCTTAATATAAAGTGTTACCCAAAATCATCTTAAACCCACCGAAATATCCCCTACCTGCTGTGATTCTGCTGACTCACTCATTGGAAGGAGCCAACAGCGAACCATATCAAAGAAACATAATTAACTGGGATGAAAAGCGCAACATCAGTTAAAATAACTTGTGTTTTATCTTTTGAGGCTGTTCAGTTGTGTTGTGATCACAGTGCAAGACCCTGAAATGATTTGAACTGTGTCAAATGCAGTGATGCCCTTTCCAAAGAAATGGCATCACTTCCTGTTAGTCAGTCTTTACGGAAGATTTAAAATGCCTAAAACAAATCAGCAAAGAAATAACGTGAAAAACAATACACACTGTGCATTTACTATTTGAGACATAATTAAATCATTCCTAATCTATTTCACTTTCTCTGTTTGATTTGACTTATTTAGGCATGTTTTGTCTTCCATAGCTGGGGAGCAAAATAAAAGTAGTTAGTTATTTTTCGTCATTATTATAATATACTAGTAATGCCTATAAGAGTGTAGCAGAGCAGGTTGGAGGTAGGGTTGGGAGGTATCTCAGGGTTGGAGTTTACACGACTTTTGGTCTTTTATTTTTTTCTACTTATTACATTCCTATAAAATCTGCTTGCATATTAACACACCTCTGATCCTTCTCCATTCGACCAATTAAAACGTCCGCTGACCGTTTCAGTCGTCCTCCAGCGTTTCCGTCTTGATGTCGATCCCACCGCTGCAGCCCGCCCCCTCCACCTGATTGCTGTGATTGACAGACGCCTTCTCCAAACTGATTGGGTCCTGGGGCTCGGACAGCGTGGGCTCGTCCTGCAGGGAGGGGGAGGGGGGGGGACCAGGACACGCCTGTCAATCTGGACGCCTCCGCCTGAGGGCCAGCCGCTGACACTAAGGAGCGGCCAATCAGAGTCGTACCCCTCTGTCCTGACAAGCTTCCTCTGCTCAGAGCGGAGAACCAGCTGGGGAGCAGCGTGGGGACCTGGGGGGAGGGGGAGGGGAGGATGAGTAGATTTTTAAAATATGTTATTTCTTAAATTCCGAGATTTTAGTGTAAAGGGCTCTATACAGTACATTTGTCTCTTCACTATTGATATTATAAGAGTGTTTCAAACTCCATCCGAATTCACAGGTCGTCAGGTTCCTAATAGTAGATAAAGTTGAAGAATGGAAAGACTCTTGCCTACGGATGATTAATATTCAATGTAATGCTGTCAAAATTATCGCGTTAACGGCGGTAATTAATTTTTTGAATGCAGAATGGCCCGTCCCATACATCCCACCAGTGGCAGCGCCAGGGTATGGCTGGGGTAGGCTACACCCATACCAAGAAATGGCTTAGCCCCACCATGAAAAATGATGTTAAAGTAAGCACAATAAAGTCCGCCAACTCGCGCGGGGTAAATTGCACAGACAGCAGTTAGTAAGATTGATTTCAGTAGCCACTTGTCTGGAAATACCGAAGACCAGAAACGGTTTTGAAAACTTTTGTCACGTAGTGATCGTCTTCTCAATAGAACATCTTTGATAATGTCTTCTGGCCAATCAGAATCAAGATAATGGCGTGGTGTTGTTGCAGGAAGTCCCGACGGAGAATACTTTTGCTGTAGTACAGGGGTGCACATAACCATAGCCGCGGGAAGTAGGGGTGCTGGGGGTGCTGCAGCACCCCCTGTTGGCGAGTGGTGTACATTTGAAAAACTGAGTGACCACCTAAATAAAAATGATTAAACTACATAAAATAGTTATGATTTTACTTTAAATAAAATTGCTAGGTCGTGGGAGAGTGACGTAATTGACGTAATTGACGCGACACACACACTGCGGAGTGACAACTTTCTAAAATGGCGCAAAAAAGGATTTTGGATTTTTTTCTCCAACAAACAACCCAATAAAAGAGTGGACCACCAGCTACTCCTCAGCCCACCACCTCTACAACACGACGCTGAAGTTGGCTTCCGATTCAGAGCATCCGATTCGGCAGTTAAGGGGAAAGTTAAGGGACATTTAATTTACAGCGCTGAGCGAACAATCCTCCGTGTTTGACTCTTAAATCGCTGCATAGTAGTGACACATGACATGTCATCATGATGCAGAAGAGACTGACACATCTGACTTTGATGCATGTCCATAGTAACATGTTGGACAATGTGGATGTATCTGCTCTAATGAGGGTCTTCATTAGTGCCACCCCAGGCTACATTTGGAGTTTTGTGAAGCCCCAACACAAGGTGAAACGTTATTTCTCCTTTAATGCTGCTGCCGCTGTGCAGTGTTTTGCCTTGTCAATCAGTTAAAATAGAATTCATAGTTTTATTAATATTGTAAATAATATTTTCTGACTATTTGTAATGTTATGTAGGTTTGTAAGAGCCATAGTTAGCATGTGGGCATGTGCAGCTGTTGCTAAGTGATGTAGGTCTATAAGCCTAACAGTTAAGGCGAGACACCAGGTGAATAGGGTAATTTTTTTTAACTTAAAGATATCAGCTAGAAATTTCTCCAGTTAATTACCTACAATAAGGCAATTGTTTTTGAAAACAAGTTTTCTGAATATGCAAATGAGCCATTATCTCATTAAATGTGCGCATATTTTAACAAATTTCAGGAACCGAAATCTGAACTTTGGATAAAGCCAGGTTCAAAATTCTCGTTTCATTTTGTAGTCATATTAGCATCTAAGGCTTTTACAGAAGGGATTTTGGATATCTCTCTTTATCACTCCATAAATCAGAAAATACTGTCAACAGCCCTAAAATATCAATTTTCGCCATGTTTCTAGGTATAAAATCTTATATAATTCAGGCTATGAATGACATATGAACAAACCCTTCAATAAAAGCCTTCATAATATTGATAGGAATATAACTGGAAGGTTTGGTGTCTCTATGTGCTACTGAAGTTGAAATTTCGAACTCAGAGTAGGATACAAACCTCATTTTGAGAAAACGACCTTTAAAGATTGCAGTGAGGCGCTAGCTAAACCCTCCTGTTCTTTGGATGATAGCTTGTGCATCGACGCACTCCGTGAAGGTATTTCATGTTCGGGGTCATTTGTTTTTTGTATAATCTTGCTTCGTGCAAGTGACAATTGTTGTTGTCTTCTCTGTGAACGGTTTTTTCGCCGTTCTTTTGCCATTTTGAGATTTCAATTTCTAGCGGAAAGCTAACCAGGAAGTGTTTTAGCACACCACGTGACGCTTCTGAACGAATCACGTTGTCAGAAATTGACACCAGCAATGAGATTTCGTTTATTGGTTTAAGACCCTTTTGTACTTTCACGATTGGTTGCTGATACAAAGGAAATGACCATATTTGGATCCGATGAGATTGTGCAGGAGAGACGGAGCTTTCCAACGATATCTCTGTTGACATGGTGCACACAGCGGTCGCGGTACTTTGTGTTACGTTAGAATGCTAACTTTTGGTGAATTTAGGAGAAATATACAGACGCAAATAGACAAACTATAGTAAAATAAACACTTAAATGTGTATTTTGTACGTTTTCCTTCCAAAAGCCTGAAAGAAAACATGTTATGGAATCAAAATAGCACAACATCTCAAAATTGACCAGTGCATGAAAAACGACGTTTTTGCCTGCGGTGTCTCGCCTTTAACAAACAATGTATGCTGCTCGTATCGCTGACGGCCGGGCCCGGTCCGGCACCGCCTTTTTTATTTTATTTTTTAAGCGGCCTCCTCCCCACTTTTGGCAGCACCCCCTGAGCAAAAGGACTTCCCGCGGCTATGCACATAACTGGTACGCAGGTTATTTGCGTAATCTGAAATGCGTACCGTCACTTGTGTCACAAAGCGCATTTGCGTACCGACGTACTTGTGAAGCTTTTCCAGAAGGCGGTTAGATCACCGGACGACAGAGTCGGTCTCCGTGTGCACAGACAGGCTGCTGTTAACGTCGGTCTGTACAACGGAATTGTGCCAAAACTACGCCAACCGGCTGCGGAGGGAGACTCCCCCCCTTCACTGGAGAACTGCGCTAAAACAGCTAATCACAACGTTCACACTCTGTGGTCACGAAGTACTCCACTAGCGCCCCCCCCCCCCGTCGACTTTCCTGAAGTACTCCCCCGTTGATAGAAATCAACACGTAATGAATTAAGACCCCACGGTTTGATGATTGATAGGTGTGTGGGTTGTCTTTCATTTTGACACGCAGAAAAATGTTATAATAAACATAGATACTGTATGTTAAATGGATATATTCGCCTTCTTTCATTTATCTTTCCATTCCCACAACAATATACATAAAGAAATGGCATATTTTGGACATAGTTCGAATGGTGATTAATCATGATTAATTAATTTTTAAGCTGTGATTAATCTGATTAAAATGTTTAATCGTTTGACAGCTCTAATTTAATTACATATCTGGGATTTTCCATATTTCGCTTTGGGCAAGCCGATTCGTCATGCTGGGAGGAACCAATATGAACCGTAAATAGTTTGTGTTGAGAAATGGGAGATTTAACATTTCTTAAGCACTTGATTTAACATTTACTTATCTTATTCTTATAAAAAATATCAATAAGAAAAAAGTAAACAGGAAGCTGCTGCCGTGCATCTTTCAGCAGCACTGAGGTGGTAAAAAGAGAGATGCTCTTGATTTTCATACAATACACTTATTACTAATAGAAAACATTTTACAGATCTCTTTGCTCGTGTTAAACAAATACACCTTTATATTCCTGAGTGCTAAGGTTCATCCAACAGTTAACTATTTCCTTTTGTGTTTCACAGACGAGAAGGTAAATCAAGCCCTTAATCATGTTATGCTACGTTCACACCGGACGCGATGCGATGTTTGGGGGCGGCGCGATTACATGTAAAGTCAATGCAGAGACGCGAATTAGCTCCGATGGCGAGAATGAAGCGGTGGACGTGGCGCGAATCACGCGATTGAGGCGATTGAACTGTGCCGCGTCAAACGCGAGAGTTCAATTTTTTCAACTCCAGCGTCAAATTCACGTGGCGCGTTCTCGCGGAAGCCAATCAGCGGTGAGGATCTCAGCCTGCCGTTACTGACGTTCAACCAGAAAACATCAGCCATTAGCTGTTAGCAGTTAGCACACAGATATCACAGCTCCTCATATCTGTTCAGAAACTGGACAAAAGTTAAACAAGAACAAACCACAGACTGTCTGTGTCATGGCGAATACAGTCGCTGGTTTATTTATGTCTGTAGGCCGTTGTTATGAGTGTGGAGTGAGCATATACAGTGTTAGCTTAGCCTGGTCGACCCAATCTCCATTCAGAAAACAAGCATTCTAAAAGGTTTTTCGCCTGCCGTCTGTCTGCAGACTTGTCAAGTATTAATTCATGGTTTTTACTAACCGGTATCAGTATGTTGTTACGTCGGCATCATTTAGAAACGTGTATTACAATTTAATCACGGTAAAATATGTTCATTTTGTTGTAGTTAGCTCCCTAGCCAGTGCGTCTTGTTTGAATGATGCGAGTAAACACAGCTGGCAGCCGCGGTGAAACTCGAGCGACTAGAGCGATGCGATAGGAGCGTTTAGAGCGAAGCGAATATTCGCATCGCGTCCGGTCTGAACGCAGCATTAGGGTTGTATCTGCCATTTCTAACTAGCTGTGTCCATGTAGGTCATTTGAATAAGTACAAGTGGGCCTTTTTTAAAGTTGACAGTGTCTCTTAGAAGGTGTAGCATGTACTTGGTGCGACTGTTTGAAGAACGTTTTTGTTCTCGGTTCTTGATCTGTAAATCGGCGCTCATCTATTCATCTGAAGCCAGAGCTCTTTTGAGGCAGTGTGTGTGTGTGTGTGTGTGTGTGTGTGTGTGTGTGTGTGTGTGTGTGTGTGTGTGTGTGTGTGTGTGTGTGTGTGTGTGTGTGTGTGTGTGTGTGTGTGTGTGTGTGTGTGTGTGTGTGTGTGTGTGTGTGTGTGTGTGTGTGTGTGTGTGTGTGTGTGTGTGTGTGTGTGTGTGTGTGTGTGTGGGCTGTACCTGGGTTGGAGAGGACAGGTCAGCCCGACTGAATCCGAACTGCCTGGCTGAAGCTCTCTTGTCAAATAAGGACACCTCGCAGCCCTGAGACAGAGCAGCACAGAGGTCATGTTCTGTCTCAAGAACAAGGCTTCTTCACAGCTGGTTACTTATACGGTTACTATATGACTCAATGTTTATTTAAACACGGTTACACTGTGTAACTTCACTGAGCCCAGCTGTATGTTCACAGTTCCATACCTCTGAGCGGCTCAGTGAATGATCATCATGACTCATTGACGTGTGGTTTACCTGGTCGGGGAAGTCGTTGCCGTCCACCTCATCGCTGTTGGACTGACCGCCTGGACTCTGGACCTCGATGCCATGGCTCTCCAAGATGGCTGCTTCTTCAAAAACCCAAACCTCATCATAGCATATCGACCTCAGACAACAACACACTCAGATGCAGGGTCAGGTAAGAATGAAGGAATTGCTCATTAAGAACATTCCCAAATTAATTTGACTTTAGATTAGATGTGATATGGTTATTAAAAGAGATAAACAACAATGATTTTCTAAGCATATGCTTCATGTTAAAGGTAGGATTTGCATCTGTAGATTGCAAACAACTCAATAACCTGTCATCCTAACAATAACGCAGCAACAAAATAGAGATAGACATTACCAATGTTAGCGCGCCTCTTGATGTCTTTACGCCGATTGGCAAACCAGTTGTAGACCTTTAGAGAAGTTACCCTCTCCAAATCAGACAGCTTCTTTCCTGTCAAACACACACACACAAATACACAACTGAAGTCTCCCTCTGTGAATGTTGATCATAAAGTAGCTTCCAGGCAATGGTCAAAGACACAATGCTTCTGCAACATATTTAAGTTGCATGTCTGTCATGATGTGGCTCCTCTAGTTACCTTACCTTTTTTAGCTACATGACCAATTACTAATTCACATGAAGGGGTTATGAAAGGAGCTTATGTGCGAAACTATTAACCCTCACTCTTTCATCCAGTAAAAGCTGCTACCGATACAAGAGCTAGATGCCTACTACCAAGGTGGTAAAAGTAAATGTATTATGATAACCAAGCATTTGTATTTATTATATCTAGCAAAGTACTGTGGATGATCTCTTTAGTCAACGTCTAGAAAGAGAATCCAACGTCATAAAGCGCTGTTTTTACCTACCTGGTTTCAGAATGACTGCGTTGCAGGCGGTGGCAATCTCCTCTCTCTTTGCCTCATCAGGGTACTGATTATCAATGAAGTAGCTGTGCACACACACACACACACACACACACACACACACACACACACACACACACACACACACACACACACACACACACACACACACACACACACACACACACACACACACACACACACACACACACACACACACACACACCACTCCATGTAACAACAACTAGAAAAGGTCCCTCAGTAGAGTGCGAGAACAATGAGAGTCAGCAGCAATGTCGGTGTAGAACAGTCAATAAAACAGGTTAGGTTCTTTCTAAAGTTGTGAATCACTGCAATTAGGCGAGGTCCTTAAATATACAATCTTACATTTTCACAAAAAATGTGAGGCTGATAGGTCCAGCAGTATGTGCTATTAGCTCCGGACAGGAAGACAGTTCAAGGCACATGCAGACTAAACGCTTAATCTCCTAACAGGCCTGGCAGAGATCAATGAAAAGCCAATGTAATATTCTTTACAGTACACCCCTCCCTCACCTCTCCATCACAGCCAGACACTCCTTCCTCCAGGTGAACCGGCTCCCCCGCCGCAGACGGAAGCCCGCGGGAGCCGAGCCAAAAGGAGGCGGGGCTTGCTGCCAGTCTATCATCTCCTCCATAGCCAATGGGGCGGCTCGCATGGCAAGAGTGGCACCTGAAATACCAGACAGCGCAAATAAAAGGTCTCGTTTTATTTTTGTTCATTTTCTCGCCAATTCACAATTTTCTATTCATCACTTGAAAATAACATTTTGAATTGGTTGTACAATGTACCTTAAGTGCGAGTACACTTCATCATGAGGTTGGAGTAATTCATTACACCCTGACATTTATTTAAGAGCATCGAGCCATGAACCAAATTAAAGTCAAGGGACTCTGATTAGAGCATCCTTCAGGGGGAGACACGGGATAAGTAGTCTGTGCTGATCGTACATTCCTCTGTGTTGCTCTCCACTTAATACAGACCACTTATTGTTCAATCACAGGAAAACTGCTGTCTTTACTTCTGTCCCCAGGGGGATTCTCGAAATGCCCATAAAAAAGCAGACTACCCGAAGACTTTTGATTACAACTTATATCAAATCTGTAACTTTCCAAATACCCATAAACTTGGTTTCACCTGAGTACATGTAGACATCACAGCTATGAATACCAATGAGCTAAGGTACAGTACAGGGTCCTACTGAAGGAGACTTTGACAATATGCAATGACAACGTGTTTTCAGCAGATAAACAGCTCTCCCTATTGTGTAGTAGTCGGAAAGCTCAGATTTTTTCTAAGTCAGCCCTGAAAAAACGGAAACATTGACTTCAATTAAATGGATTACGTCAACAAATTTCACAAAACTGTATTAGGTTAGTCTAATTATATTAAGTTGAACCTTACGTTTTTTTAGTTAAATGTAATATTATTGCTTTCAACTAACCTAATACAGTTATGTGAAATATTTTAACATAATAAATTGAATTAAAGTCAATGTTTCAGATTTGTCAGTGAGCGTTCAGAAACTCTAAGGGGTTGTTGAAGTCAAGCATTCAGTGGAGCTGGTTAAGATTTCATAAAACTGTATGAGGTTAGTTGAAAGCAATACTATTAAGTTTGAATTAAAACTTCAAATCAATGTTATTTCTTTCAACTAAACTCATACAGTTATGTGACATTTGTTGACATAATACTTTTAATAGTAGTAGTACAAGTCAACGCTTCAGTGTTTCCAGTGCAGGTGTGATGGTGCGGGCTGTGTTACCGGGGTTGCTCTTCTCCAGCTGGTACCAACGGAAGAAGGCTCGTTTCTTCTGCTCGCTGAGGTCCGAGCCCTGCTGCAGCAGCCAGTGGGAGATCCGGCTCTGACTGATCCCTGGAGGAAGAGGAACGGAGCCACATCTGTATCGAATGCTGGCATGACAACTCTATGTGATTCAATTGGCCCGTTTGAGATCCGGGTGAAGGCGATACTCACCCGTTACCTGAGCGACCACGGCCTGGGAGATCCGCCTGTTGGCCAGGAAAGACTTAATCTCTTCTTTGATCACAGCACTGTCCCTCCTGTGAGCAGACATGGGAATCTACTGTTTACCAAGTACAATAAATGTTTACATCTCTGGCAGGCTGACATTACACATATGGCACAAGATAACAGTCACTACACTGAAACCAGCTGTAAATCTGCCCTATATACACACAGTATGTAAATGGCAGCAGCTGTTGAGCTGAATATGTGCCGGAATCAGAGGCCCATCCTGCTATTACAGTCTCTGCTTTCTGGCATGATTTCATCTTCACACGCCCTCAAATCAATACCACTCTGATTGCTGCTGTCTCACTGCAGACTACAGATGAGAGACACGAGTGAGTGTGTGAGTGTGTGTGTGTACAGTGCTGTATGTGTGAGTGTGTGTAGGCATTTATCCTTGGATCACATTTAGATCGAGTGAGAGCTACAAGCAGACTTTTTCAACCGCCATGCTGTTTGCATCAGAAACTGATTACTTTATAAATCCCGGAAATTGGGTTTTGTAATAATCGCTCCATTTTAGATAAAAATAAATAAAAGACCGATACAAAAAAATAAAGACAACACATTACAATATTTGTATTAGGAAATAATTAGACATTAAAGCTGAATTGCTAAGCTTAGGACCTTCTTTCTGCTGTATATCAATTTCAGTTTATTCACCGTTTAAACTGTTAAAACACAGAAGAGTAAAATCACAAGACCTAATCAACTGAAATGGGACACCTTGATAAGATATCTGCAAGCTATTCGAACGTTTTAAGGCAACCAGCTATCAGTGGGTTCTAAAACAAAACATATATTGAAGTTCTGCCTCTCTTAAATTCAGCCAGCAACAAGCAGGGGATTCCTGGCAGTCAAGGGAAATACTGCAAATCCATGAGGGATCGAGTTGCCTAGGACAATCAAGTTTATGCACCAAAGAAATACACTGGCAGGACATTCTACAGTTGAAAAATGAATGAGATCATTTGTTTAAAAAAGGTAAATAAGCTGGTCAAACACATTGTTTCCCCTAACTTAAACAAGGCGATAACTGTGATGATATTTAGTCAGTTTGGACTCAATTGTAGAATGTAGGGCATCCAAAACAAAAATAAATTGTTGATCAAAAAGAGAGTTCTGGGTTTTTTCTTTGAATACTATTACTACAAAATATCCAGAACTTAGTCTTAAAAATATATATATGTTGACTAAATATAAAAAAAAATGAACAAGGTCATTTAAACACAGGACCTAAAAACTAAATAAAAAATAGCTGACAAAATTGACACGACATGACATTATTGTTGGGCTAACTATAAAAAGGGGACACTGTCTCAAAACAGATCTGATATCATTTATCTGCTGACTGTACTAGGGATCGACCGATATGGCTTTTTCAAGGCCGATACCGATTATTAGTAATCAAGGAGACCGATAACCGATATTTGGAACCGATATACATTTGCAGTAAATCAGAAAATCTTGGTGTCAAAATCTAGAATAACAGAACTTCTTTGAAATGCCATTTTATGTTTAATGAACTTTTCAACATCTTAAAACTGGTTTCCTCTCTGCGAAATAAATTAAAAACTACTAAAACTAGTTCTGAACTTCTGATATTTGAGTCTCACTCATTTAGTAGTCCCAATTCAGCAGCACCAGATTGTGGTTCAGAAAGCAGAGTTGCTGCGAGGCTCCACTAGCAGCCGTCCCAGTCCCAGTCGTCCCAGCGCGTCCCAGTTTCTCCGCTGCGAGACGCTACCCAACGCCCCCCCCCCCCGGTCCCTTTGTAACTGGGAAACTGATAGAATTGGATCATAAGTTCGTGGTGTTTTTGCAACTTCAGCATAGGGGATTGGGATGTTTATTGAACTTCGGCTTTCAACTGATTTACCTTCGAAACGCCGCTCACTGCTGCTGCTTGCCTCTGTCTGTGTCTGCGTTCTTCGCACCTGCCTGTAATCTGAGAAAGTCCCGCCTCTCTGGCTGGCTGCAGCCCGGAAAATCTTCTGTGTTGATTGACACTTCAGTAATAGCCTATCAGATAGCGCTGTGGGCGGGACATTGTTCGTGAACAGTGGTGACTGCAGCCAGAGAAACGGCCGCATCAGAGCCAAAGTTGTATCGGCAATTTGATTTAAAAAAAAGGCTGATACCGATAATCTGTAAAATGCGGAATATCGGCCTCGATAATCGGCCAGGCCAATAATCGGTCGACCCCTAGACTGTACACCCATACATCTGCAATGGTGCCTTACCTCATCAAGTCCTCCACCTTGTCATCTACATCTATGTCCTCCTCACTGGTCTCAAACCCGTATCCCGGCGCCGTCACGCTGCCACTGACTAGAGCGAGAGGAAACCGGGGCGGGGACAGCTTCCCATTGCTGACCGCCACCAGGCCGTTCTGGACTACTGCTGCCATGGCGACGGGTGAGGCTACTGGAATGGGTAGAGGCGGGGAGGTTGTGTCGAAGTTGGTACTGGGCGACAGTGTGAGTCGGCTGTTGGGGAAATTTGTCTGGGTGGCGATGGAAGACATGGAGGAAGAGGCGACGACAGCACTGGAAGAGGACAAGGAAGACGAGGCAGGCATGTAGGGAGCTTTGTGGGTGAGCTTGTGTCCATGTTGCCGCTCCAGGTGGTCCAGGGTGTCCAGGGCGTGGAGGACTTCCGCCCGAGTGATGCCCGTCCTCCGGAGCCTCTGGAGGAGGTCAATCTGCTCGATGGTGAAACGAGGCTCCTCACACTGCTGGAACATCCTGGAGGAAGAATCACAAGAGCATTATTAGTAAAGTAAAATTATACTTTGCTTTACTACATACTATGCAGCAGTATTTCTCTGCAAACAGAAGAATTCTATACACAATTTCACTGTCTCTCTTTTTTATGTAATATAAACTAAGTATAATTCCCAAGAAAAAAATTCATGGAGCATTGTTCTTATAATGTACCCGTATAAATAGGACCTAAGGGCTCAAAACTAACCTTTAAGAAGGGCATAGTCTTGCTTGCCGAAACTGAAAATATGGTGGCCATTTTTGGTCACCTTTTTTCACGATGCAGTTTACGTCAGCTTAACATTGATTGTGAGATACAAAAAACAAAAGCTTCATAGTACCTCATTAAATTCTTTGTAATTTGTGTTTTATTTTTGCAGATTTAGTTCTCTGCTCACCTTTCCACTCTATCAAACAAAATTGTCTCTAAAACAGACGCATGAAATGTACAAAGCAAGTGCAGCATTGTCTGGCTCTGGTTATGACCGTAAGAGAAATATTTAAACATCATACATCCAACTAATTATTTAGATTTTTATGGAACGCACATTACAGGCATCAGATACAGTGAAATCCTGCTTTAAAAAGGTATTCTGTAGATTTTTGAACACTAAAGGCGCTAGTGGCCATGTTGTAGTCCTTCTTGTGTTTGTAGTTTGCACAAAAGCGGCGTTGTTCCGGTAGCAATGCATCAACAAAGACAGTGATAAAAAAGACAGATAGCGAGATAACGTGGATGTAAACAATGCATTCTGTAGGAACACCCCTTACAGTACATCTCAAGGACACACATTGCATGTCAGGAAACACTCAGTGTATCCATGATTCAGTTACTGTTGGGAACGGGGAGTACGTTTTGACAAAAGAGGCCACACAGCAGCACTGATTTTGTGTCATTTCTAAAAAACTATTGTCATAATTATAGTCGCTGAGCTGATTAAGAAAACGACCGACCAAAGGACTGTTCGGGGTCACATTCATTTTATAAAGCAGACTAGATAAGACATTATTGTCCAATATGGTAATGCTTAAAGGTGGGGTAGGTAATTTTGGAGAAACCAGCTCGAGTGCGCTAGAATTTGAAAATACACAGACGGAAGAAATCGGCTACTTCCTCACAGAGAGAGCCCCTCCTCCAACACACACGAACGCGCACATGACCAATGAGGGCACGAGATAAGTGTGTGCACAGATGGAAGGCTGACAGGCAGGTAAGCCATCCAGTTACTTTAGCCGGGCCGGCTAAAATGATTGGTCGTGCTTTTTACAGAGCTACGGCTTCCAGAGATGAAGTTTTATTATGGATTTTTTGTCAAAGCACTTCAGATATTCATTGCTATCGGGATGTTAAGAGCATTCCATGGAATATAACAAAAAGTGTATCTCGAGCCGGTTTCTCAGACTTACCTACCCCACCTTTAATTTGTCTGCATCGTGGGAAATGCACTGGCTTTTGTACAACATCACGTCCAGCATGCTTTGTTTTTTGTGCATCATTGGTACACAATTTGAGTTCAACGCAGCAAAGGTGAACTCAACCAATGACAAAGAAAACTAAAAGAAATAAACTAAAGAATGCAAATACATTGAGTAGCTATAGCACACCAGGCTGGTGGCCATACATATTGTTCAACAGGAAGCCTAGTGTACTGAAATAACATCTACGTTTTCTATTTTCGATTAATTGAAACATTTTTAGGGAAGTAATGACATTTCTGTACCCACTGAGCCTAACATCCCCATGCATGAGACAATCAGAGAATACAATAGAAGAAAAGTCACGTCCCTTAGCTTCCTGCCGGCAGATTTACACACACACACACACACACACACACACACACACACACACACACACACACACACACACACAACACACACACACACACACCACACACACACACACACACACACACACACACACACACACACACACACACCCACACACACACACACACAGTCAGTCATCAGAGCTCAGCAGCTGCTATCCAGATATGAAATGCTTTTCTTCTGGATATTAAATAAGGCTTTTATCACAGTGAATGCATTTCCAACCCCAGTAATCATATCATGTTCCACAAATAACGTAGTGTACGTGGTATGTTCACAAACGAAACACATGCCCACCTCAATGTGGCTCGAGTTATTATTTTGATATGTCACATACTTTTGAATGTGCACTGATTTTTGTCACAGTAACAGCGACTCAAACCGAGAGAGAGACAGAGAGGGAGATAAAACGAAAAAATGAGATAACACATCTGTCTCTATGCTTTCTCTCAGATGCAGAGAAGAAAAACAGGCCACAGCAGAGAATCAAAGTCAGCAGACATGTCAACACTTATATAGAGAAGGAGGGTGAGGGTGAGTTGTGTGTGTGTGTGTGTGTGTGTATGTGTGTGTTTCTTGGAAAAATGCCAAATAACATTTACATCTCCGGCAGCCAAGCTCCATATTTTCTCTGACTGCTGCAGAGGATGAGTCATTGTATATATAGCTAGCTAGACTGATAGGATCCATACAGGACTGCTCAATGATCATTTTCAACCAATTCTATTTCACAATAACTGTCTTTTTTATTCATAAATGCTTTCATTAATTGTTGCACATTTATGAACGACTATTTTATTCTAGCATTGATCAAGTCTTCTTTTCAGTCTTCCCTGGTTATTGCAATTCTTAACAAAACTATTATAATTACAGATCATACAGCCTAGCATCTGAACTTGTTCCTTGTTGTAACACACTCTCAAAGTATCTGTGGTTAATGCAACATTCTCTGACCAAAATGGAGCATGCAAGGAAACAGAACATATAGGATATCAACTTGACATTAAACATGTAAAAGATGGACAGATTACAGAGATATGACAGGGATCTCAGAAAGAAAGAACAAAGGTCCCCGGCAGGTGGGTGCTAGTCGAGGGTTATTTTCTTCAAGGTCGGCACCTTAACCCCTCAGCCACAGAGGTGCCTGACCAGATCACTTTGAATTAACCCAGCTTTTAAACGACGACAGCTCTAAGACCTGAGGTGGTTCAGTCATGTTTAGTTTTGCTCTACATGCACTGTGCAAAGTCCAACAAGACAACAACAAATGTACCAGAACTTAGAATGACCAAAGGAATAAGTGGCTTGTAGAAAATGCACTGAAGCAGTTCCCATTAAAGCTCAGAGTGGTGACAATAATGGGTGTAACTCCACAGACACCTGCTCTCTACGGCATTTCTTAACATCTCCAATAACATTTCAAAAAGGGGAAAGGTAAAACTCACTATAGTGCGATATTCTGAAAGGCAGCAGGAATATTTAAGCTTCTTATATTATAGCCTTAAAGAGGCCCTACTATGCTTGTTTGGGCTCTATCTTTCCTGTTGTTTGTGGTATAGGCTTTTGTGCATGCCACACCCCCCCCCCCCCCCTGCCTGAAATGCCTAGTTTGTATTCCTTTGTTTACTTCAGTAACATAGTGACATCACTATGTAACACTTGCACTTCTATTGGCTTGCGCTCCAATACATTGTATGTGATAGGCTAAGCTAAGGGCTGGGACATCTCTCCAGCTAACCAATCAGAGCAGGTGGGCTCTGGTTTCAGACAGATGTAAAAAAAAAAAAAGGGTAGCATAGGCAGTGTGAGAAAAAAAAGACCTTTTTGAACATTAAAGCATGTAAACATGTAACAGTAGAGGCACACAATATACATATTAACCTACAAAGTAGCATTAATAGGGCCCCTTTAAATATCCATACCTGTTTGTCAACTAAGATTAGGTCAAGCAAAAATGGAAAACACTACAAAAGAGTGACTTTTATTTAAAGACATTATGTTTTACTTACACATTTGAGTGCATGAACAAGTATAATTAAATATTTGGACATATTTTAAATAAATGATTAAATCACACCCCAGGGAAAAACAATGGAATTTGGAAAGTCAGTCTAGAGAAACAATCCTTCCTTTAAATAAGGTGCTAGTATTGTAAGAACTTATTAAATTCAGTTTTATGTCAGGAGGCCAACATCACTTTCACTTCCTTATCATGCCTGCAGACAATAGCCAAAATGCATATTTTCTCAACAGCAAATAATAACAGCACAGGAAACGTACGTTGTATTGTTGGTGCACGGTGGCTACTGGATCAGTTGAAATGTAATCCTATTTTTTTTGGAATGAGGATTCAACATTTGTGACCATGTGGCTGCAATAGCGAAAGTGTGCAAGTAGGGATAGAGGCAGCACTAGTAATCAAATAGTGCTGACTGGCACAATTCCTTCAGGGATCTCTGCTAAGCAGCAACAGCAGGACGTATAGCAGTGTGGGCACACATGGAATACACACACAAACACACACTTAAGCCACAACCAGATTCACAGTTGAACTGAAATCCTGTCATTGAGGAAGACACTGAATGCCTCACAGCTCCAGGTGCTGAACTTGACCTGACCTCCCAGTGGATTAGAGGATGGTTACATTGTAATACATAATGAAACAAACCTGTAGGTGAGGCTTTGTCCTCCTTCAAAACAAACTTCACACTAGGCAAGACCAGTATCTCCCTTTTTCAGTTTTTAAAGGTGTGTCATGTTTGCTATAGGACTTGAAGGGTAACTATTTAGTAAATTCTAACAGGTTAATGGTAACTTGCATTACTATTCCTGAACCCAGTGACCCGACCTAAGATCCTAACCACCAGACGTGGCATAGCGTTGAACTGTCTCCTGGTTTACAGACATGTGCCAGCTTAGCAAATAGACAGAAGTATTTTAATTACAGTAGGCAACTTTGTAACTTCCATCGGAAACCCAACATTTAACCGAAAAAGAACCGCTGTTTTCTGTGCCCACATACTACACTGTAGTAGTCCCGATGATAAGGTAGCCCCGCTGCATTGTGTTATATCGAAGGGATTTTACTTTCACGCCAAATCACATAGGAAAATATACATTTTCATGTTGCCCTGCTTCTAGGAAAATAATAATTTGCGACAGAGCGTGTCTTAAGACAGTTAATGTTTACTGAAGGACAACTACTCAATTCGGCACATGTCATACAAGCAAATTCATTCAAAGCACCACATAAATAGTTAATTTAGCGTGTTCGCCTGTCGTGGCTGTTAACCGTAATTATCTCTACTAAAGCACACACTGTGCATCGCGGTAGACCACCTGGAAAAGTTGACATTGTGTTTGTTTAACTGTTTCTTGGTGAACTATGTGCATGCCGAATAAGAGGCTGACTCTGTCTGATTCAGACAACACCGTTAATATCAGTTTAGTTGGTTTTAACATTAACCGCCAAGTATAACGCTGCGGCACAGCGGCGTTTTTAAGGAGTTTTCAGTGATCACCGCACAGAGAGAAGGAAATGCATCGGGCCAGCAGGACCGTTTGAAGACAGCACTAGTTGGAGCTGCAGGACTTTCCTTACCTTAATATTCCAGTCTCAGAGCCTCCGCAGATGTTTGTTTAACCATATATCTATAGCCTCGGGGCGCCAGGGCTCAAGGACGCTGACAGTTTTCCCAAAATGTCTCCTCTGTTTCTAATTGGGTTTCAATCCGCCGTCAGACAGATTCGCCTTTTGTCCTGCAGACAGGCGCCATGTTGACACAATGACGCAAGGAACGACGGGAGTCGCAGTTTACAGAACTTACTGTACACAGAGGTGCCAGTTCATTATGCCCGACTGGTTACATATGATATTCATACATCTTTCTGAGAGGTGTTGATTTAACTCTGTCGATAAAGGGGAGGTGGCATTCTAGGACATTGTAATATGACATGTTTTTGTGTTATGTGCTTATGTCTCAGTCAGGGGGTTAAAAACAGTTAGTTCTCTCACCAACAATATTAATTACAGGCCACAATGCAAAAGTAAAAACATATAAAGGTTTTACTGTCATATGCACAGTAGCTACAGTGTAGTTATGGCAAGGACCATCTGAAGTCCCATGCCCCTTCAACAGTGCAACATAAATACATAAAATAAGACATAAAACAGAATATAAATAAAATAGTGCAAGAGAATGTTGCAATTGACCAATGTGCAAGTAATGCAGGAGAAAATACACACATGCTGGAAACATGGAACCAGACAGAGGTGGATGCAGCATTTCTCCTGACATTTGAGTAATTAAAACCACAAGATCCCAGTTTTTATTCATGAACATTACTAACTTAAAACATTCTCGTAAATGGCAGCACTCAGAACAAAAAGCACAGTGGCAGTTATCCTACTTGTGACTATGTATAGATCCTATCAGCGACACAAGTGCTCATCACACAGAGTCCTGCTGGTTTGCACTGTAGTTGTTGAATCAGTGACAAATTAACACCCGGGAGACTTTAGGGATACAATTATCAACCTGCAGTGCTGTAGGTCCTGATAACCACTGCCGCATGTAAGGAAAAGTGTTAATAGCAAACTATTACCGGCTATACTGCATGTCCTTGCAAGTCCATTATACATTAAATAAAGTTGTGTGAATTCAGTTTTTATCCACGGATGTCTGGGCTACAGAAAATTGGCTTTTTCTTGCAGGATCTCAGGTTAACTCAGTAAAATGCTGAATCTGCTGCATTAATCCAAAAATGACTAATTTAAGGACAAATGTCTTCTCTCACTGCAGATAATTCGGCGACATACTGCGTACAAAAATATTAATACAATTTATAAAAAAAGAGTCACTATTCTTTCACACACAGTGACATCACGAGCTACCCACAATGCAACGCGCGCCATATATATAAATACGCCATTTTTCTGGAGGTGCCAATATCCTGGAGGTGCTAATATAAACAGCTAGCTAAAGTAGCCAGGCAGAGCGCACTAGGTTTTTTTTCTGAATTAACGACCGTAGAAATCGCTGCATGTCTTCGGATTACATCTCTGGACTTGAGGGGTGTGCTCTAGGTCGTTACCAGCGTAAACTAGAGCTGTGTGGGTTGTCGGATTGCCCTTACAGACTGCCTGCAGATGTATGGAAAAACGATCCTCGAAAGTGGCCTTCGGTCGATTTTGGCAGCATCTACGTCTATCTTCTGGAAACACCAGGTGAATACCCCACTTGTCACAATAATATTATCATGTCAATGCATATATGTGGTATTTTAGAGTTGACTATATTGATTAAGGCAATAGACTATGATATTCTGCTTGCACCTCGCGTGAAATGGCGGATACCGGAAGTACGTTGTCGCCCTCGGCCCAAAACCCGTATGTGTGTGTGAAAGAATGGGGAATAATAAACTATTTTATATAATAATGATTTCTCAAATAGGACCAATGAAAAAAAAAATGGATATGGCATCCTGATGTTGAAATCTTATTTATTGATAGAAAACATGACAAGTGTACAGTATGGTATAAAATATAAAAAACAAATGCTACGGCAACTAACACCTAAATATAGGCAAGTACTAAACATAATAAACACCAAGTATGTTGGTGTGTGTGTGTGTGTGTGTGTGTGTGTGTGTGTGTGTGTGTGTGTGTGTGTTCAGGAGGGAACCCAGATGTTGCCGTGTGTGTCGGGAGCCTGGTTGTATGGAATGTTCCAGATCCAAGGCTGATCTGAAAACACAGAGAGTTCGGAAGAAAATGAAATGCAAATACATGATTTGATAACTAAAAAGGGACATTAGATTGGACAAATCGGCAGCATATATGCCCACTGTGGTGTCTTTAATGATTGTTTAAGTGGAAGAACATGCCCCACTCAAAGATTAACATCTTAGCGGCTCTCATAGATTCTATCATTTTTTAATTAGGGCCATCATCTGCATTGATTTTCGAATGTTGGCACAATAGATTGAATGACTCTGACTTAAGATATAAATCGAAAGGATTTGAAATGATTAAATAAAAATTATTATTACATTGTAAATGTTCTGTTTGGAATAATTATTAGAATATATTACTGGCTAACAGACATTTTAACCCTTTTTTAGCAACTTCTCCTCTAAGCAAGTACAGAAATCTGAAACATCAATAAAGAATAAAAGAAAATTACAACACAAATATGTGTAAATAGTAAATACTATTAAATGGTGTATACAATGCCTATACTTAAGTGAGAGCGCTGTGCGTTTTTTTAGCAGTGGGCAGAATTGTGCAAAGCAATGGGCGGAAGTTCACAGTATGAAGTATAACAATCATCAGGATTGTACAGATATAATCCAATATCCAGATATAGTCTAGTTAGGATGATTTGGACAGATTTAAATTAATTCAAAACTACACATTTGTTGTTTTAATTCTAGCATATTAAAACAATTGGTCCTTTCTTTTACTATAGCTTCAAATTACAGTTTAACAAAACATATGACCCCTATAATAATGAGTTGACACAAGTCAAATGTACCAATATGCCATTGAAATAGTTTGGTTTTGAGACAAAACTAAAGCAATGAACACATTTGTTTTTAAATACCAGTTTTTTATTCTCCATTAAATGATGTGCTTTCTTTAACCTCTTTATGCTCTGGTTTAAGTATGAACTCCTTCTCCTGAATGCCACTAGAGGTCACTGAAACTGTAGATTAAACTCTACCTGTTGTTTAACTGCAGTTAAAGACCATAGAGTTAAGTATAAAGCTTAAATCAGACATCAAGACACTGCAAAAATGTTTCTACTTTACATTATGCCAAGAGAAAAGAGTAGTAAAAGCACAGCTTTTGTAGTATTCTAACCTGGAGTTAAACTAAAGTTCAAATGCTAAGCAAAAGAGCAACAGACTCAGTAAATAGTCCAACCTGTACATAAACACTAGGGCTGCACGATATATCGTGTCGTGACGATAATCGCGTTATGCGCATGTGCGATATTGACATCGCAGGACGTGCGATGTCGTGTTTTTTGTTTTTTGTATTAAGTAGGCAAATGAACTCAAACACGTCATGTTACAATTATTTTGCAGCTTGCTACAAAAGGAAAACTTGCGCGGCTCATGTCAGGGGTACTTGAGTGAGTGACATGCCGGCTCTGCATGCACAGCAAGCCACCAATCACAATCATTCTTGATCAGATCACAGCAGGATAACCGAGCTAGCTCAGCTTGTTGCTCTGATAATGATGATCCAGAAGTCTGTGACTAAAATCCTTCATCCGGTTAAATATTGTTAAATAAATTCCAATTGTATAGCATTAAAGTTCAAGAAAGGATGGCTTGCGGGGGAAAAAACGGTCTTTTCTTCAATTCCTGTATTTTTTCATATCGCAGGGGAAGAAAATATCGCATTGTCAGTTTTTTTGCAGCCCTATTTAATACACAATCACACACTCTTGTTTACCTTTAGGAGAGTAGCTTGTAGGGGGGAGGTCAAATGGCACAGTGAAACCAGAGGAAGAAGAGACAGGAAATGGATTTCCGCTAACAGGGAAGGTCTTCATGTTCTGGAGGAGATAGGCATAACACCACATATTATTAAACTCATTTATTCAGCACGGTGAATTCTGCCTGCTCATCTGTGTCTGTTGTTCTTACAAAGGCGGAGGGCACGTAGAGGACTCCCAGCTCGTATGAACGGACCATCACCTGGGTGCTGTTCTTCTCCATCGCACCCCATGCTGCTTTGGACAGGTTGGCACTGAAACACGTACACAAACATACACTTTAATGTTTTAATACAGCTGTGTATCAGTGCTGCCCACACAATTATGTTGGTTTAACTGTCAAACTGACATATTGAGACTTGAGTCTTTCTTTTCATTCTCCATAAGGAAATGAGTGGGGTTTTCATAGAGAAGGAGAACTTTCTCTATGAAAAAGTAGAAAGAAGAGGATTTATGTTTATACATTTATTAAGGTTAATCATAATGAATTTGGAAGAGGAAAACAATAAATTGGATGCCTGGTTCATTATATTAAATGTATACATGTGTACAAGTTTAAGGAGTAGGTGACATTTAATAAGATAGCAAATTAGAAAATCACACATACATAATAAAAAAAAAGTAAAAATATGAAGATCAGCAAATATAAAGCTAGCACACACACCTTGTGACGAAGAACCAGGCAAGCCGAGTGAAGTCTGGGGAAGCCCTCATGTATGTCTTGATGTGTGGCATGGCATGACTCCTTCCTGTTGCATCTGCCTTCCAACGGCTAGACACAAACACACACATATATTATTAATCTGTTGCAGTGGACTTCATGTTGTATAACGATAGATACAGCTGTGTGAACTGCAGGTTAATATACTAAAAGCCTCCTGCACACAGCCCTGTTTCATTGTTTTGGATCAAATTTCAAATACACATTTTAATTATGTGTGTCGAACCTTGTATAATGTGCCCAGTTACATGAATTACTTGATGTAATAAATGAAAGAGAAGAAGGTTATCATGACTATCTGCCCAGTTTAACAGTATCAGTGAAGCCCTACTAAGAGTTCTGATACATAGAAGTGAACTTACTGGAAGAAAGAGTGGAGCCAGAGTTGTTTCTGAGCCGTCTGGATGCTGTAGGGAAGAGAGCCTCCGGCTGGAGGACAGAAGAGACTAATATTACAACCTAATACACAGCAATTACTGTAAGGGAAACTTCTGCAGCAATGGAGAGTCAAGACTCAGAGAGACACGAGGAGAGTTGGAGCTTTGATGTCAAACAAAGATAGTTCATTACAAGTCAACGGCCGGAGAATTCATATCACAAGTCACAGCAGCAAACGGTTCTGACTGCACGGGTGGGTTGTCATGTC